TTTTAATGTAACACTCTGCCTCGAATGGCCCCAGTGCCTTTCACACGGTGAACCTCACTGTAATAAAATAAATAAATAATGTGTATCATTGTGGCGTGTTGAGATTTGCTGCAGGACAGTTTCCCGTCGGACACACCAACGACGATCAGGATTTAAAGGAACACCGACATAAAGTAATAGTTAACGAGGCAGTCTGATTAACTTTTACTCATGGATAGGAATCCACATCCAGCCACATTTCCTTTCGCATAAAGTAAAACTCGTTTTTCTTCTTCTATGTGCCTTGTCCACTCAGAACGTAGACGATCATGGTTCTCACGATTTCCTTTCCGTCGTCGCTCTTAATTTTTTTTTATTTTGTTATTTATCCTAAAACGTGTTCACGATTCAATTACACACGCTTCTTCTTCTCCTTCTATGTACCGTGTCCCTTCAGGACGTTGGCGATCATGGTTTCCACAATTTCTCTCCTTCGTAGCTCTTAATAAATATTGTCATTTTGTTATCTTCCTGAAACTTGTTCCGCCATCCTTTACACAAGCTCATTCTTCTCTTTCTATGCGTCGTGTCCCTTCAGGATGTTGGTGATCGTGGCTCTCCACAATTTCCTTGCTAGGTTGGTTTTCTTTTGTCTCTATTTCCTTTAATCTGTCCTTTGAGTATCAGATTTTCCAAACCCTCCTTCCTCACTACGTAACCAGAATTCTCAACTGTCTCTTCCTGATATTATATATGTTCCCTTCTCGTTTCATTTCACGAAAACTTCGTTGTTGCTCCTATTTTTTGGCTATGGTATCTCAGCATTTTCTGTAGAACCACATTAACTGCTGCCTCAAGTCTTCTTCATCTGTAAGGAGATTGTCCATCATTCACTGCCGTGCAGGATAACTGATATTGCACTTGAGAACTCTTTTCTAACGAAATTTTCCTGTTACTTAATACTTGGCTTAGATTTTGAAGGCATATTTGCGCCTTCGGATTTAATTATAGCACTTTCTCCCTTTGTTAGAACCTAGATATTTAAATTTACATTTAAGCCTCGTCTTAACGGATAATAAATTAGTCTAATTATTTCTGTTAATTCACTCCAAATAACGTAAAGACGCTTATCGAAAATATTAATTCACCCCAAGAGATTATAAATTGTAAATCAATGTGTTTTTGTTTTTGGTATCAAATTTTGGCACTTTTTTTTTAAAATTATACATTTCAAATCAAAATTTGTTTTTTTTGTTTTTTTTTCATAAGGTTTTGGGCATGGAATAGGGTTAGGGTTGGGTGAGGATTTTTTTTTACAATTTAAAAATAGAATAAAATCTGTTTCTGATTTGTTTATTGGGTTGATCGCGAACGTTGACCCATATAACTTAGAAAAAAGCGCATTTTTGTCGCCTACATTTGGGGTGTTGCAAATGGTCGACTCAAACGGAACGCAATGGAAGGGACTCAGAAAAGAATTGGTATCAATTTTAGTAAATATAAAATATTTTCATTAGGGGGTGAATTTTTTTTTGGGGTGAATTTTTCTTTTGGGGGTGAATTTACAGAGCCGTCTGAAGACCAGTGATATTAATTCGCTGACTGAAAAGAGTTAACCCAGAAAAATATTTAAATGACTTTGTTTAGCTCGTAACAAAAAAAATAGTTTAGAGATGTTTAATTATTTGATTTTAAACGAAGATTTGTTTCCCTGGAGATCAATGTGTTTTTATTCTATGTTCTTTCTTTGAACTCGACAAAGCACAGGGAGGTGGATTTGAAATGAAAGTAAAAGGACAAGAAATAAAAGAATTTTGAATTAAAATCTCATTTTGAAATTCATGACCAAAAAAAGACAAACAAAAACAATGAGTTTGTAGAGAAAAAAATAAAAGAAAGGCGGAAAAAATAGCGGAAAACTAAAAGGAAAAGAAAAGAATAAAAATGTTTGAAATGATGGCACGAGAAATCTAAGAGAACAGAACATATGGATGTATAGAAATTATGAAATTAGAGATATTACAAAAAGCGACAGCCAATAATGCTTTACTGATTATTCATATTCAGGAGGAAGACAAAAAAAATACGTGTAGCAGAGCAAAATGAAAGGCGAGCCAAAAAGAAATCAAGATGATAAGGATAGCAACGTATACATATTGAAATAACCTGAGTTGTTAGAAGCAAGAAGTCGACTTTTAAAATGGAAACAACGAGGGAAAGTGCGACAGTAAAAGAGAAAATATGGAAAAGATTTGTAAAGGAAACAGTTGCATCATTTAATAGGGAGCGATACAGTAATTAATCATTAGATGATAGAGAATAGTGATAATACAATGAAACTGAATGAAAAGAAGTTTACGAAAGAGAATTGTACGGTGGGGGACAAAGTAGGAAAAAAGCGTAGAAAAAAGAAAATATCTGAAAAGAAGATAGATACGGACTTTTAAGAGGAAAAGGAAAAGACTGTATAATAACAACAAGAAAAAAAAAGAATATGGCGAGAAATAAAGACGGAAATAAAAAGTGGATTTAAAAGGAATGCAAATGACATTACAAGACATTTGGTTTTAACGAAAGGAAAAGGAGAAGGGAAACTATGAAGGAGACTTTTCGAAAAAGAAAGAAAAGGAGATAAATAAGATGAAAATATAAAGGAAAGAAAGAAAGAAAAGAGTGAAAGAAGTTAAGAACGATGAAAATAAGGAAAAGTTGAAAAAGAAAAGAATGAAAAAAGAAAAAAGATGATGAAAAATAAGGTATATAATATATTTGAAAGAAATTATTCAAAAGGAAAGAAAGAAAAAAAAGAAAATATATTGTAACTTTTCATGGAGAAAAAAGTAAAAAGGAAAAAGGATAGAATTTAACTAGAAAGAAAGAAAGAAAAAAGAAAGAAAGAAGAAAAGAAAGAAAAAAAGAAAGAAAGAAAGATGTGGGAAAGAAAGAGGGAATGAAAGAAGGAATGAATGAAGGAAAGGAAAAGAAGGAAAGAAAGATGGAAAGAAGGAAGGAAAAAAGAAAGAAGAAAAGATGGAAGGAAGGAAAGATGGAAGGAAAGAAAGAAAAGAAAGATTAGGGAAAGATGGAAGGAAAGAAAGAAAAGAAAGATGGATAGAAAGAAGGAAAAGAAAGATGGAAGGAAAGAAGGAAGGAAAGAAAAGGAGGAAGAAAAGAAAGAAGGAAACCAGAAATGGAAGGAAAGAGAAGAAAAGAAAGAAAAGAAAATGTAAGGAAAGAAGAAGGAAAGAAAAATGTAAAGAAAGAAAGAAAAAAAGAAAAGATGTAGGGAAAGAAAGTGGGAATGAAAGAAAGAAAGAAAGAAAGAAAGATGGAAGGAAAGAAGGAAGGAAAGAAAGAAGGAAAGAAAGATGGAAGGAAGGAAAGATGGAAGGAAAGAAAGAAAGAAAAAAAGAATGAGGGAATGAAGAAAGAAAGAAAAATGGATGGAAAGAAGGAAAGAAAGATGGAAGGAAAGAAGGAAAGAAGAAAGGAAAGAAAGAAAGAAGGAAAGAAAGATGTAAAGAAAGAAGAAGGAAAGAAAGATGTAAGGAAAGAAAGAAAGAAAGAAAGAAAGAAAGAAAGAAAGAAAGATGAAAGGAAAGAAAGAAGGAAAGAAAGACAAGGGAAAGAAAAGAAATGATGCAAGGAAAGAAGAAGAAAGAAAAGAAAAAGCAAGAGCAAGAAAGAAAGAAAGAAAGAAAGAAAGAAAGAAAGAAAGACTGGAAGGAGAATGAAGAAAGAAAGATCGAAAGGGAAAAGAATGAAAGAAAGAAAGGAAAAAAAAAAGGAAAAAAAAGAAAGAAAGAAAGAATGGAAAGAAAGAAAGTTGGAAGGAAAGAAAGAAGGAAAAAAGAAAAAGGAAAGAGAAGTAAAGAAGGAAAAAGGAAAGAATGAAAGAAAGAAAGAAAAAAAGAAAGGAAAATGAAAGAAAGAAAGGAAAGAAGAAAGGAAAGAAAGATGGAAAGAAAGAAAGATGGAAGGAAAAGAAAGAAAGAAAGAAAGAAAGAAAGAAAAGATGAAAGGATGGAAAGAAAGAAAGAAAAAAGAAAGAATGGAAGAAAGGAAGGAAAGAAAGAAAAAAGGAAAGAAATAAAGAAAGAAAGGAAAGGAAGAAGGAAGGAAAGAAAGAAGGAAAGAAGAAAGAAAGAAAGAATGATGAAAGAAAGAAAGAAAGAAAGAAAGAAAGATGTAAGGAAAGAAAAGAAAAAAGAAAGGAAAGAACGAAGGAAAGAAAGATCGAAAGGAAAGAAAGAAAGAACGAAAGAAAGAAAGAAAGAAAAGAAAAAAGAAAGAAAGAAAGAAAAGAAAAAAAGCAAAGAAAGAAAGAAAGAATGAATGAAAAGAAATAGAGAAAAAATCAAACACGAGAAAGAAGGGAAAAGAAAGAAATTTTACAATAAAAGAAAAGATTAGAATATGGTTGAATTTTTGAAGTAAACAAAATAAAACCGAAAAGACGAAAACGTAAGGAACGAAAAAATATCACAAAAAAACTTGTCGAACGATAAAGAAAATAGAAAGTAAATATTGCGAAATAGACTCCGACACACAAAGGAATAGGAAAAAGAAAAATATATTGTTTTTGGTTTTTGTTTTTTTACAAAAAAGAAAAAGAAAGAACGATAGCAAAACAGAAAGAAAGAAGAAGACGACGACGACCTAAAGTACAACTATTTCAAATAGAAATACATTTGAAAGTCAAGAAAATAGCAGAGGAAATGAAAAATAGAGAAAGTCTCATCGCCTGCGGTTAAGAACTTAAATAGCCAGCAGTTGAATTTTAATAAGATTTGTAATGATAATTATTATAATGCTAATAGCGTGGAGACTTTAATTGGCAAAGAGCTAAAAACGTTAACTAATGAATTTTGACATTTTGTTAATTGAATGTGTTTTCTATTTTATTGCATTATTTTCTGCATTGTTGGACGAATTGAAATTTCGATTATTTTTTAATCTCTGAAATTTTCCTGACGACGCATTTTCTTCTGAATTTTTCTACATTTCAATCATTCTATTTTATGCTTTCCTATCTTTGTTCAAGGAATCGCTTTCATTTGATTTGATATTTCTTTCGATTTTAGCATTCTTCACTTCGTATGTCGATCGGTTTAGCTTCATTCTATAAAGATTACTGTCATCTAAGCGACTGCCTTTCTTAGGACGAGATTATAGGGTCATTTTCGTTGACGATCTTTCAGATTGTTTACTCAAATTTATAATTTTATTGACATTTTAAAAGCAATCTTATTTATAGGCTTTGTTTTCTCCAATATTGTTTTCATCTATCTATCTCTATTCTTAGCTAGCTATCTGTCTGTCTGTCGGTCTGTCCTTTCAAACCTATCTATCTATATTATCTATCTATCTATCATCTATCTATCTCAGTCACTTCATATCTATTCATCTATCTATCTATCTATCTGTCTGTCTGTCTGTCTATTTATTTCAGTCATTTTCTACTAATCTATCTATGTCATTATTTTAATATCTCACTACCTATCTATTACATTACTTTTAATATCTATCATCTATCTATCCTATCTCATTCCTTTTAATAACTATCTATCTATCTAACTTATTTATATCTATCTATCTCATTATCTTTAATATCTACATATCTATGTCTATCCCATTCCCTTTAATATCTATCTATTCATCTATCTAATGGAAAAGTTTGAGTGTTAATACGCCGTAAGATTGATAAGTTGATTACAATGTTTCCTCTTTTTTAAACGTAATGTCCTTTGCAGGGTAATGTTCTTCTGTGATTACAAACTACATAACTTCATTACTTACCAATTTTTGACTATTTTCTTTCCTTCGTTGTCTTTTTTTCTATCAACCATTCATAGAAACTAGGAAAGTTCGTGTCTCATTGATTTACATCTACTTCTCTTGCCGGAATCAGCGTACCAAACAGACTTTCCCGTAAACATAATTACCAGGGGGAGGGTTTAAAAAACTATAGGCAATGATCAAAAGAATTGTAGCCTTTTCAAAATCTTTTGATTTTGTTTTAGGCGTGACTAGAATATATGACATGCACAAATTCACAGTCCCACTCATAGAATTCAAATGATTACTTGATATCTCAGTGGGTTCGTTAGACTCTGCTAGGGCCTCCGACCCGGTGAGATTTATTTATTTTATATAGTTTAAGTGCCTATAACTGGGCAGATGCTAAAAATATTGGATTATATAGAGACAATTGTACTATATTAAGAGAGACTACATTGGGCAAATGATATATAGCGAGTTGAAGGATTAGATCTTAAAGTTAAGATATACTACCAATATTATTAAACAGGTATACATTCTAGATATATTGACACTAATTCTAAACATCCTTTGTCAGTTATTAAAAATATATCCTCTTAGAAAATTTATATAGAATTTAGAATCAGCGCAACCTTTTTACAAAAAAGATGTCTTTTAACTCTGCCCTTAGAAATAGTGGTTATAAAGGCACTACTATTAAGTAAAGAGGCCCCATTATTTATGTGGCACAATGCCATTTTTAATGCGGGGTTAAAACCGAACCGGTAGTCTCAGGCAAAAAATTCCTGTAGACCCCGTAAAAAACGGTGTCGGGTAGTTATCTACCACCCCCAGACGAGACTCTGCCTTCCGCATACCCTCGACTGGGTTCCTCTCGACCGAATGCAGAGGTTCGACCAACACAGCCAAAGACGAATCTCCAACTAATTACCGAAGCAAGGATATTTGCCAACCACCCCACGCGGTCAGATGTGATACAATGCCGAATGTAGGGTATCGGTATATATATATATATATATATATATATATATATATATATATATACCTAAATAAATAAGGGATTTAGTTTTTCATTTAACACTGTAATCAGATTTTCTAAGCCCTCCTTCCTCATCTGGTGCCTCTTCCTGATGTTAAATATAAAGTTTCCTTTTTGTTTCCATTCTCTCAAAACCGTGTTGTTGCTCATATATTTCGGTCCATGCTATCCTCTCAGCATCTTTCAGAACTACATTTCTCTTTGCTTCAAGTTTCTTCTTCATCTTTGATCGTGTCCGTCATTCGCTGCCATATAGGAAGACTGATATCCCATTACATTCAATATACTTTTCTTTGTCTCTAGAAAAATAACCTGTCTCTTAATACTCTGTAGTTTTTTAGGACGCATCTTTGGTCATCCAATGGATTTTCAGATCTCAGTGTCGCACTTCCCTCCTCTGTTAGAATATTTCCCAGCTTCCGACCTGTAATTTGCATGACCATGCATTAAAAAAAAAGAGGTGAAAGCAGCACATAACATACATGTGTGGAGGGGCCTAATCGCCTTCATATTCTGAAGGAGATGGCAATATAGACGAAGAAGCCAGTATAATAAAGTTTCAAGTAATAAAATCGGTATATAATCGAATATATATATATTAAGAAATAGACAAAGTCCACAATTTATTAAAGACATTTTCATGTTTAACATTCTTTTATTGATGCTATTTAAGTAAATGCTCTGTTTATAATAAACAGTATTAAATAACATTTACTGGCATGAATGTCCGAGAAATTTTCATAGAAAATATTCGTCCTTGACAGGATTCAACTGCATCCTATACGGAACTGTCATTTAGCTTGATGTCCCTTAACTCTCGGCCACAAATGATCGTTCGGGTGGCAAGGTCGAATTTACTGCTTATAACTTCAAATAAATCGAACAAAAATTGAAATGGCAACAGCATTATAGACGAATTGTTTTGTTAATTTCCATCTGTATTTGTTGATATATATATATATATATATATATATATATATATATATATATATACAGTGTGAAAGAAAAAATGTCCAAATAACAAAAAAATAGGCCAGTTGTTAGATTAAGCTTTAAACCGTTGTGTCTTTAGAAACGATTAAAGATATCTTACTTGAATTCTCTGAGGTTTTCAAGGACAATATTGTACTCACTTTGAACGATAATAAGAATATATTCAGCTCTAAGTGAAAAATGATCCCTCTTGCTTTGTAACCTTCTCGATCCAGTTTTTCTCTTTCTGTTCCTCTTTTTTATTCACCGTTGTCTTGATGGATATCGAACAGACTTAGAAGATGGAAACAAGAGTATGAATGTTTATAGCATTACTGAACGTCTGAATGATCTTTTCCTCTCACCATGGCTTAGTCGGGAAAAATATAGTGGGGCTGACAAAATTATTTTGTGCATTTATAGCTGAATAACAAAGTTTTCTTCAAATTTTTCAGTGATTCTTACGAAAATGGCTGTCTTATCTGAAAAACAAGGAAAAGAGAAACTTGATTAATTTAGTTTTTTAGATATTAAACATTTTAAAAAAAATGGACAGTTATACCATGCTGTTACATTTTATTTAGAGAATGTTGCTGTTACACCTGATACATATATATATATATATATATATATATATATATATATATATATATGTGTGTGTGTGTGTGTGTGTGTGTGTGTAGTGCAATCCTCCCACAAGAGCCTGATAGGTGAATGAGACATTCTGTTAAAGCGATTGTCAATACCTGGGAAGGATTATTATTGAGTTCTAAAACGCTGTAGTTACTACTACTAGTTAGATCATAATATAACACTATAAAGATGTGTACAAATAAATATATACTTAATAGATATATTAATGAATATAACAAAAAAAGATTTCACTGGTACTTTTTCACGCACGCACTGATGTATCGTACTTTATATACTGTACACCCGTCTTTTGTTTACAATTGAAAAGCCCGCCACTGCCGCCAAGCTCTCACTTTGAGGAAGTATTACGACTCGTTCCGCTAAGCCCTCAAATTTTAGAAATGCATCAACGTGATTTAAGTTTTTATGTTTTTATTCGGCAGATGTAATTTTTTTTTTACCTGCAGATTATGTCCGCTTGCATCCGAAATCCCGTTGAAGCGGGGAGCGTGATGAGATTTTTCTTTATATATACATTTGTTTAGATTTGGTCTGATTTACTCTACAAGTATTTATAGATTTTATTTTGTTTCCTAAAATGATCGACTTCTTTTCATCCCATTGAACTCTAACCATTTTCACATTTATTTTTTTCACATCTCTTCCACTTCAATATCTACATTTGTCTATAATCAATACTTCCTCATCGATATATCTGTTTATTTTAAGCCCACTTATTTAAACTTCTTTTTTGCCTTTTTTCCATCCACTTTTCCCTCTGATTTTCTATTCTTCATATTTTCGCCTAATTCATCAAAATGAGAAGTTTCGTTAGTAGGTTGATTACCCGATTTAAAATCGCAAACGTTAGCACAGAGGGCTTCTCACTGGACTCTTCTTCTCTTCTTCTTCTTCTTCTTCTTCTCCTTCCTTCCCTTTCTTCTTCCTCCTCCTCCTCCCTCCTTCTTTCTTCTCCCTCCTTCTCCTTCTTCTTCTACCTCCTCCCCTCCTCTTCCTCCTCATCCCCCTCCTCCTCCTTCTTCTTCCCTCCTCCTCTTCTTCCTCCTCCCCTCCTCCCTCCTTCTTCTTCTTCTTCTTCTCCTCCTCCTCCTTCTTCCTCCTCCTCCTTCTTCTTTCCTCCTCCTCCTCCTTCCTTCTTCTCCTCCTCCTCCTCCTCCCTCCCTCCCTCCCTCCTCCTCCTTTCTTCTTCTTCTTCTTCTTCTCTTCATCTTCTTCCTCCTCCTCCTCCTCCTTCTTCTTCTTCTCATCCTCCTCCTTTTCTCCTCCTTCCTCCTCCTCCTCCTTCTCCTTCTTCTTCTTTTCTTCTTCTTCTTTGTTTCTTGGTTCTTTCTTTTTTTTTATTTTTTGCTTCTACTGCTTCTACTCCACCTTTTTTCTTTTCTTTCTCTTTTTTATTCTTCCTCTTTTTCTTTTATTCTTCTTCTTCTTCTTCTTCTTTTTTCTACTCCTCCTCCTTCTTCTTCTTCTTTTTGCTTCACCCTCTTCCCTTCTTCTTCTTCTTCTTCTTCTTCTGCATCATTTTCTTTTTCTTCTTCACTTTTCATTTTATCTACCTTTTTCCTTCCCTCTTCTTCTTTTCTTCTTCTTTTTGCTGCTTTTTCTTCTTTTCTCACTTTCTTTTTCATCTTTTCCTCTTTCTTTCCTTTTGCTTCTACCTCTTCTCCTTCTTTCTTCTTCTTCTTCTGCTTTTTTCATTCCTCCTCATCTTCTTCATCTTCTTCGTCGTCGTCTTCTTCTGCTTCTTTTCTTCTTTCTGCTCATTTATAATTCTTTCTGTTCAAATTCGCTTCTTTTTTGCTACTTTTATTTTTCAAATTCTTTTTTACATCTTTTTCTTCTACTTCTTCTTTTTTTACTTCTTGCTTCTTATGATCTTCTTCTTTTCCTCCCTCCTTTTTCTGCCTCTTTCTCTTTTTTACTCCTTTCTTTAATATGTTAAAATATTTTGGTCTGATTGAATTATTGACTAATTATCAAGGATTGGACGACCAAAAGTTTTTTCTTCTTTTCTTCTGACGCATTAAATCTTCATCAAAGCCATCATGTAGAAAAAGAAAATAATTGTTTTTTTTACATGTTACATTCCTACTTAACGTCTCATCGCATAGATACTCATCTGCCAATGTTATTACGTATTCCCCATTGATCTTTTACAGAATAAATGTTTATTTTTGTGGATTTCATTTAGGTTTCTCTAATGTTTAATACCGAACATAAGTTTTACACTTTTATTTCAATGTAAACTTTCCAAACAATGGCCACAAATTATTCTGCCTAAAAGCCAAATGAATTAATAGGTAGATATATCCTATAGGCAAAAAAGGTTTAAAATAAATACCTGAAAATTAGATATTTTTTTATGTTTTTTAGTAAAAGATAAAATTTGGTAACTAAAGGTGTTGAATTTGATTAGTCATTCTTTGTGTCTTTCGTAGCACCTCTTACTGTCAAAAATTAAAATTTGTTTTTTGTCTTCGTGATGGTTGGTTATTAAAACAAAATAGGATGTTATTTATGAAAATATTTTATTGTCAAATGATTATTTGAAAAATAAAGCAAATACACTGTCGTGATTGAAATTCGATTTTCAACTAAAAACAATGCAAAATATATAATTTTAATGTGTTTCTATAAGAAATTCGAGTAGTCTCAAATAATTTCTATAGTATATATATATAAGAGTGACGAGAATACCTAAGGTCCCCATGTATACTCTGGCTTGGCAGTGGCCAGGAGAGTTGGATGGTCATTGCTCAGGTATATAGACAACTAAAGATTAATTAAAGAGAGTTCAACAAGAGAAGTGTGGGAGAGAAGAATCGTTAAACATAGAACTTACTTCTTCTTTCTAATTCTTCTTTTCTTTTTCTTTTCTAATTTTTTCTTTTCTTCTTCTTTTGCTAATTTTTTTTTTTCTTCTTCTTTTTTTCTAATTCTTCTTTTCTATTTTTCTATTTTTCTTCTTTTCTTCTTCTTTTTTTTAATTCTTTTTCTTTTCTTTCTTCTTTCTAATTCTCCTTTTCTTCTTCTTTTCAGTATCTTCTTCTTTTTTTTCAGTAATTTTTTCTTTCTTCTTCTTCTTTTCAATTTTTCTTTTCTTCTTCTTCTTTTTCTAATTCTTCTTTTCTTCTTTTTTCTAATTCTTCTTCTTTTCTTCTTCTTTTTCAATTCTTTTCTTTCTTCTTCTTCTTTTCTAATTCTTCTTTTCTTCTTCTTTTTCTAATTCTTTTCTTTCTTCTTCTTCTTTTCAATTCTTTTTCTTCTTCTTCTTCTTTTTCTAGTTGTTCTTTTCATTTCTTCTTCTTCTTTTTCTAATTCTTCTTCTTTTCAGCCTTCTTCTTTTTCTAATTCTTCTTCTTTTCTTCTTCTTTTCTAATTCTTCTCGTTCTTTTCATATTCTTCTTTTTCCTCTTCTTTTTCTTCTTCTTCTTCTTCTATTCTTCTTTTCTAACTTCTCCTTCTTCCTTTACTTCTTACAATAATTCTTCTTTCTTCTTCTTTACCTTCTTCTTCTTCTTTATCTAACTTCTTCTTCTTCTACTTCTTCTTTTTTCATTTTTTTCCTGTTCTTCTTCATTTCTAATTTTTCTTTCTCTTCTTCTTCATCTTTTTCTTTTTTTCTTTTTTTCTTCTTTTCTTCCTATTCTTTTTCTTCTTTCTTCTTCTTATTTTTTGAATTTCTTCTCTTTTTCTTATACTTTTTCTTTTCCATTTTTCTTCTTTTATTTCTCCTTATTTTAATTTTTCTAATTTTTCTAATTCTTTTTCTTTTTTTTCTATTATTCTTTTCTAATTCTTCTTCCTTCTTCTTCCTCCTGCTTTTTTGTAAGTCTTCTTCTTCTTCTTCCTCTTCTTCTTCCTGCTTTTTTTGTAAGTCTTCTTCACCTCTTCTTCTTCCTCTTCTTCTTCTCTTCTTCTTCCTCCTGCTTTTTTTAATCTTCTTCCTCTTCTTCTTCCTCTTCTTCTTCTCCTGCTTTTTTTTGTGTCTTCCTTCCTCTTCTTTCCTCTTCTTCTTCCTCCTGCTTTTTTGTAAGTCTTCTTCCTCTTCTTCTTCCTCTTCTTCTCCTGCTTTTTTTTCTAATTCTTCTTCTTTATTTCTTTTTATTATTATTATTATTCTTTTCTTCTACATCTTTTTTTTCAAATTCTTATTTTCTACTTCTTTTTAATTATTTTCTTTCTTCTTCTTCTTTTTTTTCTACTTCTTCTTCTTCTTCTTTTTCTTTTTTCTAATTCATCTTATTCTTTTCCACTTCTTTTTATTTCTTCTTCTTTTTAATTCTAATTATTAATCATCTTTCTTCTTCTTCTTTTTCTAATTCTCCTTTATTCTTTTTTCTTTCTTCTACTTCTTCTTTTACTCTGTGCCGTGTCTCTTCAGAACCCCTGCGATCTGCTTGGCTCTCCACTATTTTCTGTCACTTGTAGCTCAAGAGTTTTGCCATTCGCTATTTCTATTAATTCCCATTTTGCTCCTCTTCCATATATCATGTGTACATTCAGGACGTGAGCGATAATAGTTCTCCACATATCCCCGCTTGTAACATTTAATAATTTTTCTTCATCTCTGGGGGAGATTGTCCATATGGGAAGACTGATATTAAATAACACTTCAGTACTCTTTTTCATTGTTCTAAAAATTCCTGTTTTCAATATTTTGCTTAGTTTGGGAAGGCATCTTCGTTATCAGAATGTGCCCTCGAATTTCACTGTTACCTTTGGAATTTCTGGTCACTGTTCGGAGAAGGCACGTGGAAGTATGCATAGCGGAATCAGAGAGCCGAGTTTGAACCAGTACGTGCCCCTCGAAATGTATGAATCTTCTTCTTCTCTTCTTTCCCCAGCTATGGATAAATAGCAAGACAGACCGGTTTGCCTTGGAGGGCAACTGGTCAACCGTAGAGAGAAATGGCAACCCACTGCGGGAAAAAATCTGCCTTCTAAGTCATGTATGAAAGATACCGGACCGCTTAAGTGTGTATCACGTATGGCACATTAACTGACTGATATACTTTTCGAGATTTTTTGGGTGCAGTTGTAGATAATCTAGTGTTGTTCTTGTTGAAGATTTTGTTGAACAATGGTGTATTGGCTGAAATGTTTGTGGGATTAAATTAAGGAAATTTTATCTGTATTGGTTTGACATTTTGTTAAATGGGTGTTTAAACCAAATTATGTTACGTTTCATACGTATGTATATATTTGCATTCTTATTAATGTTTGTATTGCAGCTTGGCATTTGTGTTTTACTTTTCTAGTGCATCTGTAATTGGTTTATGTTTATCAAAAATAATTTTGTTGCTAGAGTTAGTTGAGTCTTTTTATTGCATCGATTTGTGCAAGTTGTTTAAAATTCCTAGTGGCTGGTTGAATTCTTTGTTAATGTGTTTATGACTTAAAAGTCTTTAGTATATTCCTTTGGATAGATCGAAATGTCCAAAAATCGATCACACATTGGCATTGGTGTTAGTGGTGATGCATCTACGATTCTTAAAGAATCTAGTAATATGTTTTCCAAGTCGATGTGTTTGTTGTAGATTCGGTTTGGCAGAGGATAACCTGTCGTCTGTATAGGCCAGTATCCATGCTATCGAGCATACCTTAATCTGCACAATAGCATACTGTCAAATAATTCTAAAGTTTCTGCAGAATCGAACGCTCCCATCGCTATAAAAAGTATAAGTTGTGTTTTTTGTCCACATAGAACCATCGTGATATAGGATGGATTTGCCCATTTGCTTAATGATTTCCTAGTCGTGTGATGGTGCAATAATACTTTTGCTAGGTTCATAGCTGTTTCTGCGATAGACGGATAAAATTTAATATATATATATATATATATATATATATATATATATATATATATATATATGTATATAGATAGATAGATAGATAGATAGATAGACAGACAGACAGGCAGAGAGATAGATATATAGATAGATAGATATTGGATTTAATAACAAAAATTGATATATTATTACATTAACTTCTATTTTGTGTGAACTGTCATTCGTTCTGGGATTTTAGGACATCAGATTTCTTTTGAATGTCGTTACACACATATAATCAAAACACATAGACATAATATATATATATATATATATATATATATATATATATATATATATATATATATAGTTATTAATAAATATACATATATGCCCAAAGGTTTATTTCCCATCTTGACATACGCCAGTGATATAAAAACTATTGAACATATCTTTTCGCATTTTAGAAGAACTTGATTTCATTTTTTTAAATTTTCAAACGATCGAAAGTTTCAACTCCTCTTCTAAACATCTTCTTTCTTCATATTTTGTTTTGTGTTTGAATTGTAGCAAATTTCAACTGAGTCGAAACCTTTCGAGACTGGGAAGTGAATTTAAAAGAACATATGGAATAGAGTTTGGCTGTAATGTTACTGCTTTTCTTTACTTGAAATTTTATATACGATTTGGCTGTTTGCATTATGAATGATATTCAACCTTTTTGAATCGAAAATATTTTTTTAATTAATTCTCAAGAGAATACGATGTCTTTGTTCTATGTTTTATACAAAAAGCATATAAACATTGTCCTTATTCTCAAATGCATAAAAAGTAGCTGGGAATAAAAAACAGCCTGGGAATAAGAGAAATGTCCAACTCTCAAACGAGAGTGAAATGAATCAACAACGCTAGGCAGAAAACATCCGAAGCAGAGTACGAAGGAATAACTCTAGTGTTGGGAAATCTTGCATGCATTGTTCAACTCTTCTTATTAATAAATCCATTTTGTCTTTGTATAGGTAATGAGGTGTTCATAGGCTGACTATGAAGGAGTGATGCTAGAATCAGAAATCTTGCATGCATTCATTTCAACTCTTCTTATTAATAACTGCAATTGTCTCTTTCCAGGTACGAGGGTGGCTGAAAAGTTCATAGGCTGACTATGAAGGAGTGATGCTAGAACTGCGAAATCTTGCATGCATTCATTTCAACTCTTTCTTATTAATAACTGCATTGTTTCTTTCCAGGTACGAGGGGTGGGCGAAAGTTCATAGGCTGATCACGAAGGGAGTGATGCTAGAACTGTTAAATCTTACATGCATTAATTTCAACCGTTCTTGTTAATAACTGTATTGTTTTTTTGTAGGCATCTAACTGTTGAAAGCAAACTTCAGCACAGTTGGAAAAAAAGCCATCGAAAGTAGATGTCATCATCACCGCAATACTGGTTTCAAGCCAAGTATAGGAGTATAGGGAGGATGTTCAACCAGTCTACAGCCACGTGAACCATTGACCACACATATTTGTGTTATTAAACAAATAACCTTTCATCAGTTGTCCTGACGTTTGCTCTGATAGTCTTTCGTAACTGCACCAGAAAATGTCACAGTACTCTCCCATGATGGTGTGGCCCTTTTGAAGATAGTTAACAAACAGAATGCCTTTTTTTAACATCTGCTCATATTTCTGAGATAAGGTATTGTAAATATTACATTATTTAGATTGTTCGGGACTATTGTCCTCATTTATATTGTCATATTCGGCGCGTTTCAACCGTTGTAATCTCCAGCCTTCTTCAGTGATACGCCCGGAATTTTGAACAGAACCCTTTGTTTCCTTCAGTGGAGTTCAGTTCGTACCATGCCTTTTCTGAATATTTCCTTTAGTAACTAAACTGTCCAAGTATTTGTAACCAAGCATTGCATCCCAAAACTGAGGGCCTCCTTCTCTGCAAATATACCATCTTTGTCTCACTTAGAAGCGGATGAATTTTCCCTCTGATCAAAGTGATAAACTCAACACTCATCCAGTGTTGGAAACGTTTTAGAAAACCAAATGGATGTGCCTCAGTCAGTACAGATTTTTTGCAATAGTTGTTTTGGATCAGGGTGTCAGAAGACTGACACCCACCGAGCAGAAAAACCTAGCAATAAACACGATGACGGTGCATTCCAAGAAACTGGGGCCACCATTTTCCCCTGTAGATGAAACGCCATTGGCTTACTTTGGAGCAGGGGAAGAAGGGTATTTTATACGGAATAGATTCTCTTTGAAACTGTTGTGGTAATGATCCACCTAATTTACATAGTGGGAGTACCGACCATATAAATATGGTTGGTACCGGGGAAGACGAGGGTGAGGAAGAAGAGATCCAATCCAGAGACTCTGCCGACTGCGACTAAGTCAACCCATTCTCCAGGAACAGTCTTCCCAAGAATATACAAAAGACTATCTG